GCGGAACCTAAAGAAGACCAAAAAAAAACTGCTAAGGGCGAGCAGCAGTTCAAGGCAAACTGGCTTTCTGCGGCGAAGAAGGTGGACAAGGTGGCTGTACAAAATCTGATGGCAGGGGTCAAGCGTAAGGCCCGGCAATTCGGATTTGGAAAAGCGGAAGCCTAACTGAATATTTTTCCTGAATTTTATACTAATTGAACTTGAAAAAGAAATTTAATTTGATTTTTTAAATAAACGATTTCACCGATTTACACGCGTTTTCCCTTGACCAAATTTTGACCGTATCACCCTTTACTAAACTAATTCTATGATTGTTAAAACTACGCATTTGCTACTTGTTTTAAACATAACTGGAACATGGATACCATTGATAATACGCAATGGTGCAGATATATTGAAACAAATTTGCGGTGTTGTTGCAACATAGTAAGAATCGTTAATACTAATTTCCACTTATTTGCAACGTAAAAAATGCTTGTTGGAAACTTTTCATGATGTCTTGAAAAATATCTACACTATTGTAACGTACTATTTAACATTTTTGCAACAGTTCAGTGACTTGGATTATACCTTAATGAAACGTACACTACACAAATTTAGTTGCTATAATGAGAAGTGTTGACAAATATTCCAAAAATTTAAAACTACAACGATTCACAATTTTGCACTTGATAATTTTTACGTGAAAGCATTTTGATTTGTTATTTGTGCAGGACATTAAAAAAAACTCAATTAGTTCGACTCTATTTTCTTATGGTGTAATGTTAGGTGGAGGTTTTGATTTGTTCTGCATCAGATAGAAGGCTTTGCATTATAATCACAAACTATTTTTTGAAGATGAGTGTGTGATGACTTGATGATGATAGAAAGAAGTCTTTTATTCTCGATTCTTACAATGAGCCAAACAAACGGCGCCGGTGGTGTAGTGGTAAGCGTGATTACCTCTCACCCCAGCAGGCCTGGGTTCAATCCCAGTCGGCGCCGCCGGGATATTCTGAGGCATAACATCTCTGATCACGCCTTCCTTCGAATGGGAAGTAAAGCCGTTGGTCCCCGGTTCATGAGTTGATGGGTCGATAGGTAGGGTCCAGGTGTGGGAGCTGCCTTCCTGGCACGTCGGTAGCATTGGTGCTCAGCACGGAAAACAAGATCGACGGAAAAAACAAACCAAAGAAAAAAAAAAAAATGGGCCAAACTACCATGGTAATTTGTGCCATTGAATCTACGGCAACAAGGTGTCGAATTTACCGCAAAAAAAAGGATCTAGATTTCACCAGTCCGGTTCCTACCTGTGTCACCATATGGATTAACACTTCAAGAGCGGATATCACTCCACCTGATCAAAAATAACAAATTTTGTCTACAGTTATCGATCAGCCAGAGTGCTATTAACTGATAGTTTGAACCCTTAAGGTTTGAAGTTAAAAATCGAAGCGTTGAAATATAGATCCCTTACACTAATTATTGGATAGTGGATGCCCTTGTAATATTATGATTAAATAAAGGGTAAAAAAGCAAGCATGTATTAACCTGAAATTGCGCCACTGCCAACTACTCTGTGTATTTTTGATGGACTCAAAAACCGCAGAAAATTGACCTTTCGGTTTTGTTGTGAATCCAACTTTTTTCATGATGAGATTGACAACATATGTTTACATGTTAACTTTCCAAATAATCAACATAATAAACATTATTCCTTTGGATTTTTATGTCTTTTACCAACATTTCGGGTTATCTACAAATAATGTAACGGAATAGGGGAAGAGTGGGAGTCTCAACATCCCTTACAATTTCTTACAACTCAAAGAGGGGGGTTGAAATTTTCATACATAACATTAAGACGAAGGAAAATAATTTGATCTTAAACGATTAAATGCCAAAAAACCTCCAAATACTTTTAATGAACCAATTCATGTAAAAATTTAGCCAACTTTTCTAACGATCTTCTGAAAATTTTAGAATCTTCGGAAGATTGTTGGTGGAAGAGTTGTTAACTGAATACTTTTCAGAAAGTTACAAGGGAGGGAGGGGGACTTAATAATCTCTCAAAATCCCTTAAATAATTTGTGGATAGCCTCTTTTTAGAAACATCAAAACGCGTTGAAAAATAGTCGGCCCGGTAAACATTCGTTTTATTTTCAAACCCCTTTCATAAAAAAGCTACACTATTTCAGTTCATAATATTTTCTTAATCAAAAGAGTTTTATTTAATCCTTCAATGTTCATCAACACTTGAGGAATTTGCGGTTTGTTTTTGCAATAATTAAATTTAAAAACCTGCTCAAAAATGACGAAAAAATTATGAAAGATTTAGCATTTTTCAGTTAGCGATAATAGGGATTTTATAGTTAAAGTCATTGTATGCGTTAGGTTTAAAGGCTTTTTAACATTATTTGCTTATTTATTTAGTTTATTGATTTATTTGTTGCTTTATTGATTGATAGATTTTAAAAAATAAAATAAATTAAATTAATTTATTTATAAATTATATTTAGGCTTAAAATAGGTGCATAAATGCACCTTAAAGTTATATTTTCAGCCGTTTTGCGATCAATAAGCTTTCAACAAGCTCAAAAAAGAAGATTAAAATTAACAATTTGTACTGCAAAAAAACCACTTATTGGATAAAAAATAAGCTTTTCAAATACTTATTTCTCCTAATTTTTTACTTGGAAAGCATTTATTTTAAATAAGATGTGATTATAATTTAGGCTTCTGCCTTAGGGTTGGACAGTTCATGAAATAGGGTGCTGGTAGGTGTGTTTTAGTCACCTGTCCGGAACATCTTGTCGGTGATCGCCGCAAAACAGTGGACGCCTCGCCTTAGAGCGCCGAAAAAGTGCCTGGGCACATTATTTAGAGTGACCATTGAGAATTGAGGTAACTTTCTTTTTATAATTTTGAATTTTATGTACCCAACTTCATGCTAAAGTCGTGCGGTTAGAATGAAACCAAACATTAATCACAGTCCCAAATACACCCGTACTCAAAAAGAAGTATTGTTGTACTGAAAATTCTGACCCACAATGTACACAATTGGTTTGCTGTTGGTAAGACTGTCAGCCATATGTAGTCCACCAGAAAAAAATATAATAATTTTATTTTTTAACTCATTCAAGTTTCACACCATATTAACATTAAAACATGAAATACTTACTACAACTTTTATTTTTTCCAATAGTTTGAGTTTAAGTTTTTTTGCAATGATCAATTTTTAATCTCGACACATTTTTTAACAGTAAATTTATGGCATCAATTTGTTAATTTTCAGAAGGCGCGTATAATAACTATAGTAAAATGTTTAATTTCACCATAAAACTTTATGCGTTTGAAAAATCAGTAAAGTTATCAGTTTTTTAAAGTCATTAATTCCATATGCTTATTCAAATAACTTTTTCATCAGTATTATATTTCTGCATCACCACACACAAATATTCAATACAATTTTTATGATTAACTAGAATGTCGTTCACATGTCTTCTAAAACATCACTGTACTGTTTTATATATGTCTGTAAAACATTACAGCTAAGTAAGTCAAAACCTCTTTTGCAACTTGTGTCATCCAAATATCGTGTTACATGCAACTGAATTGCAACACCTTTTGCAATAAGCATAAGTTGCATAGAGACTCCACCTTCTGCGCTTTTAAGGTACAATGAAGTTTTATATGCGATGCATTATCCATAATTTAGTCACACTAAGGTTGTTGTTACTCACTGAGAAACAAATGGTGTTACTTGGGTCATTTAACGATCACATAGCAGCAACAACCACCAAAGCCTACGCGTTACTTGGATTTATCAAGCGCAACCAGCGAATAAATATATGAATAAATATTTTCGTATAAAATCTTCATGGGTTGATTTTCTAGCCATTGCAGTGCATTTAGGAAAGTCAACTTTGTCCGAAAAATAATTGAAGATAAAAGTTATTTAAAAAAAAAAAAACATTTCAGAATCTTGCGGTAAAACACTTAACAATCTGCATACTTTTCATGCAAATCTTTAAAATAATCCTCCATTTCCCGATTGGGTGTAAATATCAGAATATACAAAGCTACGCGAACTATATTTTCAAATCGTTTAAAAAAGTCATTATATTATTGCATTTGCACGAATTCACCTCTCCTTCAATCCATGCTTTTTTTTGTCTTCATCAAAATTAGAATCACATTCGAATCACAATTTCCACCCCCTCTCACTTTGCCAACTCGGTATTGATTGGGAAGCAGGGAACCACACTCTTCAAACCGTTGCAAGAATTGCTCTCGTTGAAAAAAGACAGCACTACCCGATTTCAACAAGCTCATTGCTGCACGGTGTGTAAATGAGCAAGATACAACAAACACGAGCATAAGGGCTGGGGTAGAATTAAAAGAAGGGAAGAAAAAAAACAGTGATACTTGTGGGTAATCACTCCAGAGAAAAGACCACCAGACCCCATCATCATCGTCATCGTCGGTTGGTCGGTCGGTCGGTTCGGTATCATCGTGAACGAGTCTTGCGAGAGACGACGAGGACGACGGGGGGTGGGTGAATGTAACTAACTACCTACCTAAGGTCGCCTTTTTTTTGTTTAGCATTCGATGAAAGCTTCAAATGAGGAGCAAAACAGAGCAAGAATTAGTGAGTTATTTTCTTTTTGTGGATTTCAGGTCTCAGATGGAATTATGATGGGATTGAGTTCTCACTGGAAGTGAGAGACCATCGGCTTGAGAACGCCCCTCACACCCAGTGAGCTACCACAAGTCCGTCGCGTTGAATTCTGAGTGTTTGCATTTTCCTTTCACCCTCCATTCGCAATCACAGCGTGCGTTGGTAGACCATATTCTCTCGACCAGCTTTCCTAGTGTGAGTAAGGGGCGGAGCTTAGAGCTATCCACCCTTTCTCTCTCCCTCGCGCTCAGAGTGCAACATGCTTTTGTCAGATCGCACTGGGTGCAGTCGAAGCGATGGCACGAGTTTTCCCGCTGCGGCGTACTCTTCAGTGTCGCGTTTTCCACGGTGTGGCAGTGGTGGCTCCTCAGTGTTTCCACGAGAAAGAGAGTGAGCCTCTTCGCGCACCGGTTGCATGGCACCTAGGTTTGAATGAACGGCACCTTTTGGAGCAGGAAAGTCTGGTTTTGGCCGTACTGGACTGGAGTTCAGTTTGCACTAGTACGCCTTGAGGCCTGCACACACGTTTGACACACGCGGGTGTGTAGAGTAACGTAAAGCGAATCTGAAAAAAGGGCTTCGCCGCGTGGAATCGCGACCAAGATTTCGCGACTTCGTTTTCTGTCCACTTCTTGACGGTCTTCTCTGTTGTCGTCGTGGTCCCAGCGGTTCGAGTTGTCGTTGTTGTCTTCGCGCGCGCCCTCACAGCTCCGGTGCGGTTTTTCTCGTTCTCTTTTCTCCGCGCGCCGTGAAATGGGTTCCAGCGAGATTCTCGGTGTGTTGTTTTTTGTATCAATCGCGCGCGGCCATATGCATTCCGGTGCAGCAGTTCGATCCCGGTGCTACTGGTGCACGTTGAGCGCTTAGCGGAATTGTAGTGTTCGGCCGTTGTTGTTGTTGTTGTCGTCATCCGTTCTTGTTTTTTTGTCATCCCAAGTCCTGACGTATGTGAGTCAAGTGTGGAAATCGTGAGAAAATTGATTTTTTTTTATCGTTAAACTGTTTCCCCGTGCTTGGGATTTGGATCTAATACAGTGTCGTTGTGTGAAACCCGCGTTCGGTCGAGTGGTGAAGACATGCTGTTATGACACAAAGTCGGTGTGACGATTTTGGAAGATTGGAAGCAAACAAACAAATAAGAGCACTTTCGAGCATAACACCAATTGTGAAGAAAATCCTCGAAACGGTCTCAAAATTGATACCTCAAATCCCCTTCGCCTGAGTGGTGGCGTCACAGGATCGGCAGCAGTTGTAGTCAGGGAAGAAGAGAGAGGACGTGCAGGTGGTAATCTTAATAGAATTTTCGGTGAACAAATCGGTGAATTTCGTAACAGGCTGGCAACGGCCGCAATGCTGCTGGGAACGCAAAATCCGGCGGCAATGGCTGCGGCGGCAGCAGCGGCTGCTGCCATAGCAGCTTCCAAGGCCGGTGGTACGGCCGGCGGTTCCGGTTCCGGTGGCGGCGGAGGTGCGACGGATTTTTCGATAGCAGCCATCATGGCACGGGGAGCAGCAGCCGCGGCGGCAGCAGTGTCTGCCAGTGCGCGAGCAAACGGAAGTGCCGGCGGGGGAAGTTCGAGTCGGGAGCCATCGGAGAGAAGCATAAGTAAGTGTTGTCTTTCACTGTGGAAAACAGAAGGCGATATGATTGGAATGTCAGTGTTTTGGCAAACGATGGTTGGGGGTTTTGTTTTTGTGATTGTTGTTTGCTACATAATCCAAGTTTTTGGGACAAACCGAAGCATGACATGTGACGCTTAACATCGGGTTCTAATAGAATTAGGAAAAGACAGCTGTACATAGACTACGTACAGTCACCGCACGTTTGAACTTTCATTTGTGAAAATCGTGGAAACATTAAATGATGTCGCGAAAATTGCGTAGAGGCTGAAGAACAAAAGAGTTGCGTTTTTTAATTTTGAAAAATATATCGGTTACTGTAAATCATCTGAAAGGGCTTCGTTTTTTGAACACAACGATATTTCGTTCATTCTCGATCATCATGATTAAAAGCGAACTAATCACTTCATTGTTTGACACAAAATTAACAAAATGACAGCTCGCTCCCATATACAGTAACACCGAGGCTCAAACATTTATGAAATTCTGGATTTCGGTGCCATTTGTAATGCAGATTGCGAATATGCAATTACCTAAATACCCATAAAAAACCCAATTACGGAATTCATTTTGCGCAGATTGTGTATGGTATCATATTTAATCATATATTATACTGTACAGAACAGTGATGCCAACATTCCAGTTTAAAGCGGATTCTTCCAGTTTTATTTATTTTTCCATTAATTACAGCAACATGTTCTGAAGTTTCCTTGCCAGAACAGAATGATTAAGATGCTTACATCATATAATTTTACATTGGAATTGTAATTTGAAACAGTATTTAACTAAAATGCAGTGCTGCAATGGCAATGCTCCGATCAAGCTCGCTTTACGGCAACGTGACAGGCGTGCTGTGTCACAGCATAAACATGCATTTTGCAGGTTTGATATTATGACAGTTAACATAACTGTATGTCAAAGTTGACCTAACTAATGTTGAGAACTTATAACAAATTAGTAAGTTTAAAAACAATGGAATCATCTCAAGACTTGCCGTCATTGTTGATGAGGCATCGCTGTTATTTTTCTACCAATATTAAATGAAATTTTCGAGGCTTCTTATGCCTACGTCATCTGATCTTGTGAATTTATTTAATGACATTGATGTAGCATTTTAGCTGGTTCTTGTGCAGGGTGTCTACTCGTAAAATTTCCTGCGTTTTCCAGATTTTTTGCAGAATTTCTCGGATGATTTCCATGTTTATAAAAATGTTGTTTTCTAATTGCATTAAAAATCTTTTATTTTTGGTAAAACAACAGCTTTATTTTCACTATTGATTTCAGGACGTGACAATAACTTTTAAGAGATCAGTTTTACAATCAAAACCATTAGAAGTTGATGTGTAGCATTAACTTAAGTCTAAGATCTCATAAAATATCAAAGCCGTAAAGATTCGAACTACAAGTTTAAGATCTAGAAACCAGGGCTGGTAGCAGGTCACTTTTTAGTGGGTAGGTCACTACTGTCAAGTCAGCCACTAAAAAGGCGCATTTTTCATCCAAAAGTCACTATGTATTAAAATTTTGTCACTAAAGTCACTTATTTACGAGGAAATAATTTGCCTTTGAATAATCACATCAAATTACAGCTTGAATAGGTATCAACTTGGAGGTATAAAGATTTATTAAAAACTAGCTGAGTGTGCCCGGCCTTGCTCGGGATTTAATATTAGCTTGAGTTTATACGCCAATTAAAAAAATCATGCTATATTGTCCGTAGCACCAACCGTCCCCCCCCCCCTCTTATCTAAGGGGCTTCTCTCTATAACCTCCACATGCCAAATTTTGTACCATTTGCTTGATTAGTTCTCGAGTTATGCAGAAATTTCTGTTTCATTTGTATGGAAGCCCCCCTTTACAGCGGGGGAGGGGTCTCGAACCATCATAAGAACCTATCCCTGCCCCAAAAACCCCTGCATACAAATTTTCACAACGATGGGTTCAATAGTTTCCGAGTCTATAACGGTCAGACAGACAGACATAAATTCATTTATATACATAGATAAAAGATGAGCATGTGAGTTCTGACAAGAAGATTTGTCGATTGTCCAATTAGTGTCCAATGACTAATATTTTGATTTTTTTTTTCATCTCCGTGATTTAGATGTTCAAGTCTGTTATCTTCCAAATTTGTCCAGATCATGCATTTTTCCCTTGCCTGTGATCTTGAATTTGTCATACCTTTTAACAAATTTACTGGGCTTTCGAAAAAAAACTGCTGATCCCAATCAGGGGGTGGAATTAGCATTGGGCGATCTTGAGGCAAATCGATTCAGTTTTTTTTTGAAAATAATCGATTCACCGATTTAATCAATCATTTTGAATCGATCTTTTTGAATCGATTCATTTTTCGAAATGGCACACACATATTTCAAATACAACGGATCATAGGAAAGTTGGTGCAAATTAACGCCAAGTTCAGTCTAAAGTTGATATTTCGTTACGTAAGCTATCTTGTTATGACTCATAATAGTCATTTAGTGTGATGATTGATATAATTTAGAAATAAATTGTGTAGTATGTACGTAGTAAAAGTTGTAAGTGTAGCATACATACATGATGATGAGAATATAGTAAATGACTATTTTGATTTCATTTGACATGTGAAAGTTTTTGCCCAGGATACTTGATTAGGTCAGTGATTTAACGGGTTATCATATTCGTTGTATTGGTATTAAATGAACGATTTAAAAAACGAAAGATTAACATATGAAACAAAACGATTGAATGGTCGGTGTGTAAAAGTAGGTAAGTACGGAAAGAACTTAATTCAGATATTCCAAAACTCATCCGAGAAAGCTCCAAGCTTTCTCTTTCTCGTTCTTGCCTACTGAGCTGTCACACTGGTTGTTAGTAGAATACATGTTAAAGGCAAGTCATGTGCAAAGGTGAAGACAAAAAAAAAGTTAATATTAAATTGCAAATGTAAATGCACTTAATTTTTTTTTTATCGAAACAAAAATCGAATGAAAAGGATCGACCCAGTCGATTTTTGTCGTGTTTGAGATCAATTAAAAAAATCGATTATTCGAACCAAAAGAATCGATCTTTTGTGTTTCGATCCAAGATCGCCCATTGCTAGGCGGAGCACCTTAGCTGAATCTATCAAAATACGAAGACTTTCAATCTCAAAACCTTTTAATCCCGTTTGCTCTAAAATTTATTCAAACATCGAAACAAAATTCATGTCGCAGAATCTAAAGTTTTTTCTAAGTCCATTCTAGTAGGTAGTTCTTTTTTCCAAACTTGTACCCTGGAATCAAAAAAAAAAAAATCCATACCCATATTTAAAAAAAAAAATCTATGTCCAAGATCATAAAATATTTTCTATGTTCCAGAAATATTTGAATTTTTCTAGGACTGTGAACTGAATTTTAAAAATTTCGGGGAAAAAAACTTCAAAACCGCAAAAATTAACTTAATTTGTTCATATTTCATATCTCAATTTTTTAACTGTCAGTATTAACACAGTAATGGTCCAACATTTCTAACATCTATCTCGAAATCTTAAAATGTCTTTTCAAGATCGAGATCTTAAGTCCTAGACGCATGCAACCTTTTCTATGCCCGTGATCTTTCCTTCTTGGAAAATTAACCTCGGTCCAGAATAATAAGATTTTTTATAGACTACGATGTTGAAGTACAGAAGTTTCTTCATCCTAGATCTTTAAAATTGATTGTCTTGAAATAGTCAATTTGATAATTTGTCTGTGTACCTCAATGAATGTCAGAATTGGACCGTTTTCTAGCAAATTCAATTGACACTAATTTTTCGAGAACAAATTAATGGGATCCACAAACCACTGGCTTTATTTGAAAGAAGCATGAAAAATGATGGGTTTCAGGGTTGGAAATCGCCTCAGAGTGTTTGCAGAGCATCTTTCTACACGCATCGCACAGTACTCGGCAAAGAGAGAGTGGCTCTCCCATTTGCTTCGCACTTTTACGCCTACTTATCTTTGAGGAAGCAATCCACACAAAGAGTGGTGGAAAAATTTACGCTGGGAACAAATGGAATCCGGTGGCTACACTTTCTTTTCTTCTCCACCGATTAACATATAATCATATCGTCCGGCCATTTTCCACAGAGATGGCACTGTTCGGTTGGTAGGAAGTGATAAAAATCCCCATATAGAAATTGAGAGAAGGAGAAATAATTCGCTTTCGATGCATATAGAGGGAAATCACAAATCGATTCTCATCAAAATACATAGCATGTTGAGAGATTGAGGTCGTGAGAGAGAATTTTCTCTCTCAAATTTGAATTTTTGGCTCTCTGGAGACTGGTAGTAAAGCAGGTAAAACTGTATGGGGTAAAATCATTTAATATAATTGTAGCTCACGCCAAAGTCACGAGTTCAAATCTCACCCCGGACAAGTCACGAATGACCCAAGAGCGTTAAAGTGACTATAATAAAAAAAAAAAAAAAAATCTTCTATAGAGTGAATCTTCCACAATTTCCAGGTATTGAAGTTGTCGCATGTCAGGCTATTTTTAAAGGTAAGAGCCTTTGTATTGCTTCTGTTTATATTCCTCCTAGAGCCGTTGTTAATCGAAAACAACCTTCAGATATATGTTCGGTACTTCCTGCTCCACGGTTGATTATGGGAGATTTTAATTCCCACGGTACAGGCTGGGGGGAACTGTATGATGACAACCGTTCTACTTTGATATATGACCTCTGCGACAGCTTCAATATGACAATTCTTAACAATGGAGAAGTAACACGTTTGGCTGGTCCATCCTCAAATGGAAGTAAATTAGACCTTTCACTTTGCTCTAACTCATTATCATTGGATTGCACGTGGAATGTGATCAAGGATCCCCACGGTAGTGATCACTTGCCTATCGGCATTTCGATTGCCAGTGGGTTCAATCCATCGGAAAACCTTAACGTCGCATACGACCTCACCCGTAATATCGATTGGATAACGTTCAAGACCGCGAAAGAGGAAGCCGTGTCGTCGGTAAAAGGGCTTCCACCG